TGCGGTGGGGAGCTTTGCACGGGTGGCGGGGGTTCTCCATCTACGACCCCAACAGTGCCGACGACACTCTCGTCGACGATCGCAGCCACGACGACCAGCGAAGGCTCAACGACCAAGAAGGGGCATTCTTGCAATTTTGGCACAAAATCTAGTTGCAGTAGCCTCACTAGACTGACTAGACATGACTGGAACTATGTCAATCGTGTGCCAGAGCTTGCTGAGTTGGAAGCAACTGGCCCGCTCGCTTGAAATCATTCAAAGTACCCCGCATCCATGGAGGCACTACGTCTGCTGGACCTGCTCCAGGCGATGCAGAGTGCTGCTATCCGGACTGTGCCAATTCTGAGCGGGTTTGCAACACAGAGGAGCAGAGTCCTTTCTGCACCAGCTCTGCTGCGAACTGCCGATCCTGCGGTGGGGAGCTTTGCACGGGTGGTGGGGGTTCTCCATCTACGACCCCAACAGTGCCGACGACACTCTCGTCGACGATCGCAGCCACGACGACCAGCGAAGGCTCAACGACCAAGAAGGGGCATTCTGGAAATCCGGACACGCAACCAGTATCCAAAGGACAAGAGTGCTGGGTAAGAATTGGTCGTAGCTGTTCTAGCAGAGGAGCATGTTTGGGTCGACTTTTCTAGCAAGTGTTCGACAAAGTGCTGGTTCGCCTGGACAAGATTCTTTTGTTTCCCCCTTATGAGTGTTCAAAGCTTGCCAGTTGTGTTGACGCACGCATGGCAGGGAATAATGTCAGCATCTTTGAGTAATGGACCATGCGCACTCACTGGGTCGAACAACGACATCAAGAGAACGCCTACAGAGTTGACTCCAATCTGCTATGGTTCGGCTAACTTTATTGGCTCTTGCCAGCGAGACAGGAATACGCCTTCCTCCCTCGAATGTAGCCTCGCCGTCTTTATTTCCATGCGCATCGTCACATGACTGGAACTATGACAGTCGTGCGCCAGGTTTGCTGAGTTGGAAGCAACTGCCCCACTCACCTGAAATGATTGACAGTACCCTGCATCCATGGAGGCACAACGTCTGCTGGACCCGCTCCAGGCGATGCAGAGTGCTGCTATCCGGACTGCGCCGATTCTCAGAGGGTTTGCAACACAGAGGAGCAGAGTCCGTTCTGCACCAGCTCTGCCGCGAACTGCCGATCATGCGGCGGGGAGCTCTGCACGGGCGGCCGCCGAGACATCTTGCCATAGTTAGTGTCGTGTTGGACAGGGGTCATGCCTAAACGGAGTTTGTGGTGTAGTTTACTCTAGTCCCGCAAGCCGAAGGATCCTAAACCAGGCGAAATACCAAAAGCAGTCCTAGTAAAATCTCGATCCTTGCCCGTTTCAAGTTTTCTTAATTAGTGCCAGTGTCCTTTCCCGAAGGGTCCAAAGTAGCCGACGATCAGGTTTTTCGGTTTTAGACGTACGTGGAGATCCACACAAACCTACTGTTGTTTTGTTGAGGAGGCGGGGGGCATATCATAAATCATAACCTACTATCTTGTGGCTTCGGAACTAAGCCTCTTGACTTAACTGCTTAACGCCCTGCAAAAACTGGCAGGTTCGGATCTCTTTTATTTCTTATGACCCCCCCACCCACCCAAAAAAACAGTAGGTTGTTTCGGACCTAGGTACTTGGACCTAAACCCTAAACCCTAACCCTAAACCCTAAACCCTAACCCTTAACCCTAAACCCTAAACCCTAACAGGTACTTGGACTCTAAGCCAAAACTGTTAGGCACTTGGACCCTTCGGGCATTTTTGGGCCAGCTGCAGCTCGTATGAGCTCGGACTGCACATGGCTTTCTCGGTTGAGCCCCCGTCGTAAACCCTACAGGGTTTAGGGTTTAGGGTTTGGGGGTTTAGGGTTTAGGGTTTCGGGGTTTAGGGTTTAGGGTTTAGGGCCAAAGGCTCGAACGAGCCTTACAAAGTAATTGTCGAAGGCTTAGTAGTTTAGGGTTCAGAGTTCAGGGGTAACTTTCAGGAGGGTTTAGGGTTTAGGGTATGGTCTCTGGGCCCGATAGCCTCAAAATATGAGTCCTTAGAACCTTAGGGAAACCAATGGTTCGATTTTCACTTGCAAGGCTCTTGGACGTGGACTGCTCTGTACACCCCGCAGCGTTGTACACCCCGCAGCGTTAAGTCCTGAAGCCCCACTATAGACCCTGATGGACTGAGGCACCACATTCCTGAACCTTCAACCTTCAACGCTACATTGCTAAACCCTGCTTTGAACTACCTTAAACCGTGAACCCACAGGAGAGGTTATTGACAGGGGCTCCTGAAAAGACCAGAGAGCAAAGAACGGGCTCGACCTCTCCTCGCGGGGTAAGTCGCGGGAGAGGACGTGGCGTCCTTTGTACAGTCGCTCTGGTTCTGTTTTGGGGCTCGGGGAGTTTCGTGGTGAGGGCGACGCGTTTGACTCAGCCTTCGAACGCCACGACGCCTAAGGCCGACGCCGTTAGAGACTAGGGATGTACAGCGGGGCGGACCTGCGCTATGGTGGCGGCCCGCAGTCATGTAGAGCGGCTCGGGCTTTCAAACCTCTTCGCAGATCGGCTTGAATCGGTCAAGCACGCTTCCGGAAGAAAGTGGGGTTTATAGGGTTTGGTGTCTATAAGTGTTTACACAAAGAGTTGAGGGTTGAGTTTGTGGTGCAGGGTTCGGGTGTGGTGCTGCACGATGCCTCCATAAGTGGGCCATTGTCCTCACGTGGGCCAGGGAGCGACAGTAGCTAAGCAGGCAGCGTGCATTTTTGGAGTCCCCTACATCCTGTCGCGGGCCTAGGTTTCAGGTCCGCTGAATTCAGTGAAGTGCTCGAACCACCCATCCTACTGCTACGGCATGCTGCTGCTACTGCTACTGGTAGCGACGACGACGTCGCACTACTGCTTCTGGTGCTGCTCGTCATCGCACAGCCCCTTTACTGCAAACTCAACAAAGCCGTAAACCCAGTTTCGAGCCTTCAGCCCCAAAGACCACGATGCAGGCACGGGAGCACGTCTCTGGTCCGGCGGCCTGCTCCTTGCGGACGCCGGTAGGGATCCGAAGCATGTTCTGCGCCTGTTCGGTTTTCTTCTTTGGAGTTGAACTTGCGGCTTCTGTAGATTTAGGGTTTAGGGTTTAGGGTAGATTGCTTCGGGATCGAGGATGTCGGCAGTTCTAGGATCTGGCTCTAGGATGAAAGCAGGTGCAGGTTCTGGGAGGGGCTTGGCTTCTTCTTCAGAGCCGCGGAATTCAGCCGAAGTCTTCGCCACTAAATTCAGAACAACCGAGTCCCAAGACGCTGCCCCTGAACCGGAATCCCGGAATCTGCATACCATGGTCATGGACTCGTCATAGGCCCCCTCGCGCTCCGAAAGTCAACCCTGAAGTGTGACCAATACCGAAAAGCCCTAAGTTGACCACAGTCGAAACCCGATATCGCCGAAAGCATCTAACCCCAAGATCCTAAATCCGCAATCCTAAACCCTAAACCTTATACTTCTGTAAACCCTAAACTCCTAAACTAAACCTCTCCACTGAGCTGAGCCCCTCGAATCGCCTTGCATAAAGGAGTACCTGGTCCGAAGTGCCGAGGAAAAGGCCATTGACGTGGTGAGTTGTAGCCTTCTGACAGACAGGAGTACCATTAGGGGCTTGGGTAGTTGGTAATAGTATCCTCCCTCTGTATACCTGTACTGTAATTGCGGTCCCTACATAAAGTGAACAAGTTATACCTCAAGGTGCTCCAAAACCCCGTTTCCGTGGTTCAGGCTTCAATCGCATGAACATCTTGCTTTTCGGCTTCGGCTTGGGCTTACGATCCGTGGCGTTCTGATTTGGGGATTGTTGTTGTCCTTCCGGAGCCACGCATTTCTGGAGATCAAAACCGATCTCTACCAACCCTGAACCCTATACCCGAAAAACTAACCCTGAACTGCAAACCCTCAAACTCTACCGCCTTTTGGAGCAAATGCAGCCCGACACCCTTACCTCTTCTCCTGCCGGAACAAAGCCCCAAACCATAAGCGCCCCACATCCGGCGCCACTCCAAGAAACGCCGGAGTCCCTTAATTATTGAACAGAGCCAGTCACGCGAAGAAGGTATATTGCTTGCATATGTTTAGTTTTAGAGCCAGCCCTAGAACCTCTCAATTGAATTCCTGTTGAAAGCACCTCTAATTCATGCTGAGTTCCTTACTTATGTTGCTTTGGGGGGGTCTTTTGTTCTACTCCGAAATCCAAGTGTCGCCCAAGTTCAAGAGGCAGATCTGCTCTTCGACAAAGAGGTCCGGTCTGTCTTGTGTCCCGGTGGTTGGGGCTTCGGTTTCAGGGCTCGCGGCATTCAGATTTATTATCTTGTATGGTTTAGGGGTTTAGGGTTTAGTAATTAGGGGTCAAGCTATGAAGGGGTGGTTTGCAGTGGGGACAAATGTAGCGTTTCGCGACCAGTAGAGCTGCCTTTGATGCAGCCGAGGGACCTAGCCTACCCTGTGAACCCGGCGTGCCCCAAACAAAACGACCTGCTACAGAGCCTGTAGTTTAGGGTTTAGGGTTTATGTAGAGGTCCCAGCAATTAATGAGATTATCCCCTTATCGATATCCCTCGAAGCCTGGTCTAGTCATCGACGCCCCATCAAAAACCTTGCATCACTGTAACGCTGTCGAGAACCCCATTCTGCAATTCACGGAACCCAGAACCGAAATACTATACCCTCAACCCTAATCCCTAAACCCTAAACCCCTAAACCCCAAACCCCAAAACCCTAAAGCCCTAAACCCTAAACCCTATATCATGACTATATCTTAAGGCACCCAGACCCGAACGGAGCAGGTCCTTGAGCTAGGCGCCGGCGTCGCTGCGCGGCACTGAGGGACTCAGAATTCAGATGGGAGTTTCCCTGGGTTTAGGGTGTTTAGGGTTTAGGGTTTTTAGGGTACCTTCTTTTGGGGTCTTTTTTATAAGGATCCTACTATTCAGGGTGCTATATTAGGGTCCCCTATTCTCGGAAACCCCCAGTTTGTTTCGGCTGCAAGACCATATTGAATGAGGCTGTTGTAGTTTGAGACTGAGGGTTGGGGCTGTATCACCAGATGCTAGGAATTCGGAATCGGACATGTCGGGGTGCAATTTGGGGTTTTTGGGATGAATTAGCACGTGCTGAGTTTAGGGGTTGAGGGTTTAAGGTCGTTTTGTCTAGCGACTTGGAAACTTGCTTGAATAGAGACCTTAAGCGGAACCTTTATCTAGAATAAACTTGTGCGTGGTTATGTTGTTTTGTTGGCTGTGTCCACTTTAGCTTTTGTAGTTTTAGCGCTTTGTTGATCCCTCGCAGGGCTCGGACGGCTCGGGTCAGAAAACGTTGATGCTTAGAGTACTGTACAGGCAGCTAGGTATACCTTGTTACGTTCCGTCCGACTTTCGTTGCATAGGCTCCGTCTGCTCACCCTATGCGCCTTTTGTCCTCATCCCGAATCATGATTCGGTTGTTCCTTACGTGTTAGGAGCCTGATTTTTTTCGCAGATTTGCCGCATGGAGTGTGATGAGTGCGTACTGTTTCTCGGTGCTGTAAGCCTCGTCAAGATGTTTGTTTGTCTATCTTTCCGGCTGCTGCCCTCTGCCACCTGTTGTAAACTCTGCCTGCAACTGCAGAATTTGCCCCTCCCTTCATAACCCAAGGCCAACAGTTAAGGCAGAAGTTTATATACAACGGCACAGTGATGTGATATGCATTCTTAACACTGAAGTGTGCTCACTAGAGCTTGGTGCTAACCACACGTCATTCCTGACGGTGACTGTTTCATGATAGGCTTAACACCGTGGAAGCAACGTGTATGGGTTACTGTACCCTAAACCCTCAACCCTAAACCCTAAACTGTACTGTGGTTACGCAGGGAGAGTAGAACCTACTGTACAAGCAGCTGGGCGCGGGGGTCTAGTCCAAGCACACAGGCAGGCTGGTGGAGGTCCGCATGTGGCAATTCTTGTTGCTTTAATGTTATTGCAATTAGAGTGTAAATAATATGACTCATGTTCGTATCTTGAGTCTACTTTGCTGTTCCTTATATGTTTTTTTGAGGGGTTGAGGATTGGTTCGGAGGCGCCCGATTTTCGGTCAGAAGGTCGGTGGTTGGCCCACCGGAGGCTAAACTAATGCAAAACCCAGAAACCCTAAGTTGGTTGACCCTACATCTCCCTGAAGCCCCAGATACAGGCCCAACATCA